TGAACTCTAACCAGGACCACACACTGCCATGGAGGGAGGGGTCACCTGGAGCAAAAACAGCTTGTTCACTGACTGGTTCCTACCGCGAACCAGATTCACTAGCAGCCATACATACCGATGATTTTTGCTGTGAGAGTCTGCAGCAGTGGGATAAACACCCGGTAGAAGAGGAACAGACTGAGCTGGAGAGAGAAATGACACACAACAGGGTTGACATCTTAAGATTAGTTAGTTATCTGAGAGACAAAGTCTTCAGCTGACATTTACAAGAGGGACTTTAGTTCTAAGTTTCCAGAAGTTAAAAGATAAGTTGGGGACATGTTGCACGTTGTAAAGTTTTCAGTAGTGCATGAGACGAGGATGTACTGTAATCAGTAAGTTCAATATCTCACCCAGAACACTCCTCCATTCCAGGCACAGCACTGAAAAATCCTGCTGGCTACTTTGGGGTCACTGAAAGAGAAAATAAAATAACGTCAATGTGCATCACTGTTGAATATTATATGTGTAATTTGGTTTTACTTAAACTTGACTTCTCTCCCTTAACGGATGCTGTAAACACGTCTCCGTTTGCAGACTGGAGGTATTTGGAACAGTGGATTTCGATCAACTTCAATTGAACAACATGTTGTATTTACACAATTATAAAGTCATTTTCATTATCGACAGTGACATGAGCATACGGAGAAAATTCCAACCCCTTCTTGTTTTGGCGTGTAAAGAGCCATGTTGACCTGAGTTCAGCGCTTACTTTCAAGCCGTGTAAACTCCTGCTCTTTAGCGAGGAATGCCAGAAGAACCTCTTGTCTCAAGGTAAATATAGCCATTTGACTGGTGGAACTAGTAGTAACCGCATACAGGAAGTTCTCCTGAGATTATCATGTCAGGAGGAGTTGCAACTTTCCAACGTTTTTAGAAGAGCTGCTATAAATGCCACAAACAGCAATGATGTAGGCAGACACATAAAACAATATCTATGAGCATATCTGACTCTGGCCGAGTAAGAAAATCAGCAGCAGTGCAACCAGAATATGCAGCTTCTTCTTTGGCCTACTTGTCCGGTTTGCGCTCCTCACTCTGTGCCCGTCTCTGTGCCAGGGCCCCGCTGGCCCTTCTCCTCCGCTGCTCTTCCCTTTTCTGCTGGATGCGGGCATCCAGCTTGGAGATTGTTCCAATCCCCAATATGGAGTCCTTGATCCCCTAGAGAAGCCAGAGCGAGAGAGAACACACATACAGTGATTGTTTCTAACTTGTAAAAATGGCCACTGTGATGATGGAGCTTTGCAACGTCTGCTATTGACAGATCCCATTGACAATATTTTAATTCAATTCAATTCAATTCATTTTTGTATAGCCCAAAATCACAAATTACAAATTTGCCTCATTTTAGAACTTGATGGTTTCGAGGATGTTTTATGTCATGCATTGACCCAGAACTATATTAATTTATTACTTAGTGCTATTAAAACCACCCATATGTTCTGCTGTCTGCAGATGACTAGTTATAACTGAAGTTATTTTAGCGTCAGAAAGATTTCACGACAGGTCGAAATCAATAATTGAAGAGATTATTGAGATTCAACTATTTTTATTGTTGTGCAATGTTATTTATGCTTTAACAGGACAAAATGCTGGTTTTATTTCATCATGGTATTTTCCCCAATAAAACTATTTCTCAGGTTCACTCTTTATTTCACACTCTTCATGACAGTGGTGTTGTCACCGCCCTCTCACCTTTCAGCCAATCCCTGGCCTCTTAAGCAACGAGCTCACCAACTGCTACCCATTTAGTAAACAGAGGCAGAAACTAACATCTGTTCGTATTTATTTAGCTTGACAGGGCTGGGTGTCACCTCACCAGGCTGTGTAACTAGCTGGGTATAGCTGTGAGCTGGGTTGAAATGACAGTTTTAGCAGCAGCAGTTAATGTTGAACTGGATTACTTAGATTAGTCACCGTTTTTTCAAATTCACCAATTGCTGATTTATTTATATTCACAATTTATTCATATGAGAATTTATTTCATTATGTCTTCTTTATTTATTGAATATTGAACACAACATATGATGGCTCCACAAAGTCTATTCTGCTATATGCAGGTAGTGGAATGACACATTAATGGGATAACAAAAGAGACATCTGGAAGACAAACATTATCTTTGGACTCTGTTGGAGTACAGCCAGCACACACATTCAAGCCTACGGTACAAAATGATCAAGGCAAAAAATAGTAAATTAAGCTCTACCATCCCCATTTGCCCTTCAAACACCACACATACATTAGTCAGAGAATGATATGGTTATATGAGTTTTTGTAGATAATCTCTGCGGACTCTACAACAAATATATGACATGGTAGTCTTCATTAGGGTAGAATTTACATCAGGGTTATTGTATAAAAGGGATTTATAATGAGAAGATGTTGCTTTAGTTGTGTTCACCCCCTTTAAATGTGGACATATGCCACCTGTGTTGTTGGACTGCATGAGGATTCAATGTTTTGGGAACATTATATTAAAAAGCACAGAATACATTATTTTCCAGCATCTTTCTGAGTTAGATTTGTCAGTGGATACATGTCCTACAAACAGACTACACTCACTACTTACATTATTAGGTATACATGTACAGTCTAATGCAATTAGATTCCACATACCTGCCATCAATTTTCATGAAGCTCACACTGTCAGAAATGTGATTACTGGTGTTGTGCTGTCCTGAATTACATCAAAGATATCTGTAACATTGTATCCACCCCATTCACATACATGAGGGTTGCAACATATAATAAACACCTTTCGATATAAGTGTACCTAATAAAGCGGCCATTGAGTATATGTCTCTGCTATTTCAACAGAACACTGCATTTTGAATTCATGGATCTGTTTCACTGTCAATGAACTACACCCTTGTGCGTCATGTCATAGCTCATGTGCGAGTACACTCTGTGTGTGTGTGTGTGTGTGTGTGTGTGTGTGTGTGTGTGTGTGTGTGCTGACCGTCGCAACATTGCGGAGGAAGGCCCTGACGCTGTCTGTCATCTCTGGACCAGCTGCAGATCCATCAACTGCAGAAGGAGGGGGGGCTGGCGACCTGGTGGTCAGCACTCATGGCAGGGAGGGGCTCACCCAGTAACCTGCCACAACCCAGAACCAAAGGATTAAAGTGAGGGCAGGAGCTAGAAATGAACAATAACCTTTAAAATGCAGATCTAACCAGCACAAGACTCACTTTGGTATGCTGGGAGATACCATTTTGTTCACTTAATTTCCCCACCCATGTCAGCTTTATCCAATATCATTAGTAGAATTCAGCTCACTCATGAAAATAATGACCCGTCCTTTTAACGTAGCGATCTTGGCATTTCTAAATGTGGTAGTTTTTCATGCATACATGAAAATGAAAGCTTCTAGTATTACATAGTTATTATTTTACTTCAAAGAATAACTACAAAAATCCTTCTGGGTGTGACACATCTCTCTAAAAAGTATTTTCTTTGTCTTGGACACTATACTATGATGCCACGAAAAATTGTCGGGATCCTTTAAGTGCAGTTTAAATGAGATCACAAAAGGAAAAACAGAAAACAAACTAGTTTCCAACTTCATTAATAATGTGTTATAAAGAGAGAGAGAGAGCGAGAGAGAGCGGGGGGTCGAACAGGATCTGATGTTATTGACTATCCTAACTGAAATCAGGAATTCATAACTAATATTTGCTTAATAAAGGCTGCTTTTGTCCGTTGCTTGTTGAACACACCTATTGATGTGTCTGCTTGGTAACGTTATAAAACAACACGTCACCTCTCTTATTCTCAAACGGACTGGGTCTCGGTCGATTACACACGTTTTATAACAAGGTGACGGTGAAAACGTTAATTCAGCCCGTTTCTCTTGACAATAACGTTACTATTTGTGTAAGTTAGCCCGTTAGCAAGCTCAGGGGGTTAACGTTAGCCCAAGAAAGGTGGTAGCGAACAGTCAACGTTAGACGGCTCGTTATTGCCAGAAAAATCCATTCCACTTTTACATGTGAAGACACTCGTTATGTAGCTAGTCTGGCTAGCATGATGTCTCTGGTCTCATAATCGTTTGTTTAGTGCTCTGCTAGCTTGTCTGTCTGTGTTGCTAGCTAACCTAACTGTTAACGCTCAACAACTAATTTAACTGTGGTGTTTTCTGTCAGGACAACACCTCAACAAGCGTGTAAAGCCAGACAGAGAACACGGTTCACCGCGGTATCGTCCTTACCTCATGCAACAGGCCCGGGGATATGTTAACTTCGTCAATTCTTTCTTTTGCCCCCTTAACGTGACAACAACAACAACCACACAGACACTACCAGCAGCCAGGGCCGTGCAAAACATATTGCGCAAGCTCCGACCTCTAAGGAACATGGGAATTGTAGTCTTCGTTATTGGAGGATGAAGGGAGATGAATAGAACGTCTCATTTATCTCAAAACAGTAACAAACAGGGAACTAGTGTATTGCAAAAATGATTGGAAATGTTTGTGTACGCCCTATGTGTGTATTATTTTTAATATTATTGAATATGCCTTCAGTCGAGAATATAATATATAATCAAACTGCATTTGTTATGCACCACCATAGTTGCTATTTCTGATGTTAAACACCCACTATTGTAAATTGTAAATAGATATGTTGATAGTCTATACAAAATGTTTTCAAATAGGTTCATACTTCAATGGCCCAATATAATCAAAATATTAGACACTATTTTCTAACCTATAAACCTTTTAGGTTTAAAAGTTATGTATTTTTAAACCAATATTTCTATCAAGAAAATAATTGTATTGGAGGAACTATTTCATCATCCTCACCTATACATTTTACGAACCAAGAGGTAACACACACGCCTGCTATATTAAGAGGTGTGTTAGATTTCCATGGCTTCGCACAAGGGGCACTCCCACGAGGCGGTGCGCTGTTCAAGTCAGCATCATGCGTTCATCTGTGCTCAGATGCTGCTGTGAAGTTAACTCCACTGCTGCCTGAGTCAGAGGAGAAGATCTGCTCATGCACCGATGGTTGTCTTGACCATAAGAAATGCTCACAAAAGGAAATATGCACTTATCTGCCTGTGCATTTTTGGCTTCATCGTGTACAGATATTTCGGGTAAGTAAAGTTATTAATGTTAAATTGATTCAGTTAGAGCAACTCGGAGACTGCAACTAATGCAGTTCCTCATTGGTCGAAAGTGAATGAATGATTCGCTAAGACAGAAATGCTGCAAGTCTGTGTGCACAGACACTATGTCGTATACATTGTTATATTGATATATTATAATGATGTGATGATATGAGGTAAAGCTACTATGAAGTGTACTGTACTCATGATACAGTATCACTATTGTTCATAGAATGTGTTTCTCTGGGGGGAAATGTAGACTCTTAACTATAGCATAAAGGATGCTATAGAAAAACATAGAGTGAAAAAGTATAATAACATTTTAATATGGAGTACTAAACTAAATCTGTTGAAGTGCATCTTGCCTCTAAACTCAAATATGTTCCTGCTGTGTTTGCCAACGAAGAGACGCCTGCAAATTCCCATTGGGCATGTCATGTGGTCTATTCAGGCACAATAGCCTGTGTGCTATGTTATGTGAGTCTGACACAATTGGACTCCTCTTCCAAGCTTGCCGGCGGGGGGACGGAGGATGAGCAGGAAGATGGGCCTGAGTGCCAACTCGTCCCAGTTCACCCTGGAGGGAGAGCCCTTCCGCGTCCTCGGGGGATCCGTCCACTACTTCCGTGTGCCCAGGGCCTACTGGAGGGACCGCCTGATGAAGATGAAGGCCTGTGGCATCAACACCCTCACAATGTACGGGAAAACTACCGTGGATGTGTTTTGTCTCCCAAGAATGGCTTGAATGTTAACACCTGCATCCTTGCAGGTACGTGCCGTGGAGTCTGCACCAGCCAGAGAGAGCGGTTTTCAAGTTCCACTCACAGCTGGATTTAGTGTAAGGAGTGGTACTCATGATTGTTTGTGGCACTACACCAAATACGCAACCGACACACATCCAAAATAAGAATGAAAACACCTTGCACCACTTCGCTAGCTGTGTAATATGCTACAATATTACCTGCTCTAAGGGTGTGTTGGGGAATACTCTCCTCTCCCTCTTATTATCTAAGCCCCGGTGCTCTAGGGTGAAGCCGGAGGCAGAGAGGTCCCACCTGACAATGGCAGCATCTCCCCAACAACAGCAGCTTATCAAGCAATTAATGACACAGTCGGTGATAAGTGAGGAGTGAGTGTGACCGTTGTTGCCAAGCACGTCTCACACTCCTCAAACAACGAGATACGCGGTCTCGCTTGGGGGTCTAAACTTTGCATTTGCACGGATAGAAAAAAATGCTTTTTCATTGTCTTCTCCGTCTGGGTTTCAGAGCTTATATCAACCTTGCTGCTGAATTGGGATTGTGGGTGATTTTGCGTCCAGGGCCCTACATTTCCTCCGAGCTGGACCTGGGAGGACTGCCAAGGTAGTGCTAGTATTCTTATAGTTATTGGAATAAAAATGTTAACATTATTGCGTATAGAAACCCAGATTTTATGTGTTTGTATTGAAGTAGGAAGCAGATTGAAACCCCAAAGCCTGTCCAATTCTTTCTTTAACTAGCTCTCACTATTTTGTCCCTGAATAAATGAAATTACATTTGTAAGTGACTTTAACTCAACAGCACAAAAGCAACTTGATCTGAGCCACAAAGTTCCACTTTTTGGTGAGTGCAATCAGGGTTAAAAAAAGGTCACATGTGGCTGTAAGGGAAGCCTCACCCAGTGTGTGCATCTGTGTCCAGTACTGTGCCTCTGTTGTACTGACAACTCTGTGACATCTTGTTTTTTTCTGTCTCGTTGCAGCTGGCTCCTCCGTGATGGCAGCATGAGGCTGAGGACGACTCACCCAGGCTTTACTCAGGCCGTCAATACTTTTTTTGACAAACTTATACCAAAAGTGGTTCCACTGCAGGTCGCTTTATTTGTCACCAAAGCTAAAAACAAGTCTGTTGCAGCTCCAGGTTGTTTCACTTCACTTGAAATATATGTTTTATGTTTTTTAGTTCAAGAAAGGAGGTCCGATCATTGCAGTGCAGGTTGAAAACGAGTATGGATCCTTTGCAAAAGATGAAAGCTACATGCTTTTCATTAAAGAGGTGATGTAATAGGCTTGGTTGATTAAAATGCCATCTGAAACTGAAATAAAAACACATACGTATAAAAAGAGATTGATTGAATAGATCAATTGGATGACGTTCATAGCTCCCGTTCTGTTTTATTTTCAAAGGCCTTACAGTCCAAAGGGATCAGCGAGCTCCTGCTCACATCAGATTACCACAACACATTAAAGTCTGGGGGTGTGGATGGAGGTACAGTCTTTTATTAGTGCACACACATACACACACACACACACACACACACACACACACACGCACACATGCACAGCTTACCTTGTGATCCCCCATCTTGTAGCCATCAGATCAGTGAAGCTGCAGAAGCTGAATCAGAGGGACATCCAGGATCTGAACGCTATCCAGGTGTGTATCTTACCTCTCCAAACCGTTTCACTATCTGGCACTGAACGACGTCACGTAGACAGGCAATGAAACACTGGACAGTGAGCTGTGTGAGCTGATGGTGTGGCCCTTTTCTGTGCTGTCTGTCAGCCCAACAGCCCCACCATGGTGATGGACTACTGTACTGGCTGGTATGACGTGTGGGGCGACCTCCACCATGTGCTTCCCCCAGAGGGTAAGGAAGGTTTCTCCTTGTCACCTTTCTGTCGATGCTAACCTCTTATTCTTAATTAGTCTAGCTGTGGTGCCTTTATTGCACGACTTCCCCCTTTTTCTTTTCCCGCATTTCCTGTTTTCTCACCATCAACTATAACCTTTATAATAAAGGTTTTAATGAGTTAACACATTATTTAAAAGTATATTGGGATACATGTATTAGATCTGTGGAAGGTCCCCCCATCACAGTTGTTTAAATAAAATGCCTGAAAACCTGCAATGAAATGTTATTTATTTTGGTAAGTTTCATTTTGTCACGAATTGTTCAGTGCTGCTTCTTAACATAAAGGTGGTCGCATATCCCAATATTTCTTACTGTTGTGTAGGTGGCCATGCACATTTCACATTTATTCTGGATCAAAAATAATTTAATATTAATGGGGTTAGTGGAGTTTGTCTAGGTCCAAATGCTGTTTGTGGCTCTTTGACTGACAATACTTTTAAATCTGCAGATTTACTTTAGAAATACTGGTCTTAGCTTCGAAAAACACATGACAGTAAAACCCAATTCTGCATCAAATCAGAACCACCTAACGTAAGGCGGTTTTCAGTTTAAATGCTAACTTTGGTTTCTCACACCCATAAACTGACCAGTGACTCTCTGTCCTTTGTCAAAGCCACTGACTCCCTTCATAAAATAATATTTTTTGTTTTACACACCAGCAATATTAACGTCAAGTCACTTTGTAAACAAATGCTTTGTAGCTCATTGCCTAGTTTGCATTATATTTATTTTCCTACCACTTTGCTTTTTGCATAAGGAACGCCAGCTACGTGCCAACAATGCAAATGCAACCGTGACAGTCGGGACCTACTTTTGAATTATTGCAGCCTCTGAGTGAGAGCTCAGCAGAGACAAAAAAGATGTCAGTGACTTGATTTAAGGACTATATTATGACTTCCCTGTTGCAGGGACCTTTATGTTTTTAAGGAGTAAATTTGTTGAACAGTGTGAAGGTGTTGAACTTTTTGTCAGATATGGTGTCCACTGTGAGAGAGATTCTGAGGCGGGGCATGTCTGTCAACTTCTACATGTTCCACGGAGGCTCCAGTTTTGGCTTCATGAGCGGAGCACGCGCTGACCCTTCCTACAAAGCGCTGGTCCCCAGCTACGGTTGGTTCCTCTGTGTCACAAACAAACTAGCGGTGTCATTGATGCAAATTTACATGTTATTTTTTTATGATAATGAAGAAGCACTGCCATGTCAGAGCTGGAGAATATGCTCCTTGCTGTCTACAGAACAGCATTGAGTTTAAGACCCAGCAGGTGGCAGCAGATGATAGTTAATCTATGTCACACTATGATGCTTTTCAGATTATGATGCTCCCTTGTCTGAGGCAGGGGAGTACACTCCCAAGTACCACCTCCTCAGGGATTTACTTTCTCGATACAACAGTAAGTTAACACTAAATTTAAATGAGGATGAAGTATGTGGTTACATGCTGTGACTAACCTCTACGCCTGATGTTGTCCTTGACCTTTCTGTGCAGGAGAAGGCAGTTTCCCTGACATGCCAACCCTGCATTACAGGGAGTCTTATGAACCTGCTATCATGTACCAGCACCTGTCATTATGGGATGCTTTGAGCTTCACTGAGGGAGTACGTTTTATGTAAGATTATCTGTTGCCTATATGTGTAAAAAAACAAAGCAAATTTTGCTTTTCTATCCAGTAGATCAATTTATTTTCTTTCGTTTTCTACAGCCATTTAAGTCACCCAAGCCAGTAAGCATGGAGAATCTACCTGTGAACAACGGGAACGGCCAGTCCTATGGATACACGCTGTATGAGGCTACCATCACCAGTGGAGGATTACTGAAGTCTGGAGACAATGTCCGAGACCGTGCTCTGGTGAGTCCTCATGGTACATGATGGCACGATCTCACTCCATCGCGTAGCCCAGCACACGGTTGCAGCAAACACGTGGTTACGTGTGAAGTCAACGAAAAGACTTTGTTTAGGCAACACAACAACTTCATTAAGTTAAGGAAAAACATCAAGGTTGGGCTTTAAATAAGTACGTAAATTAAGTAAAACTTAAATAACCTTACAAAAGTACAGAAATCACAGCACAAACATCACTAACGTAACTTCAAAATAACTCAACAACACTGAGGGACACGAACACTGGGCTCCTGGTTGAATGTCTTGTGTTTGTTTGACTCCTCCCACCCACAGTTTTTTTTTGGTATTCACATTACTTCATCACACTCTTGGAGTGTTTTCCCTGAACATCTAAAAATGACGCGGATGCGTTTTCATTCTCGTTACTGGAGTCTGGTGCGTGTCATACAAATGCAAAAGGGTGCCTTGTGTGTCGGTATCAGATGCCGAGGGGCGTGACAAAGTGTCTGTATTTTACACCCTGGGAATGAGAACCGGCTGCTCACTCCCCTTGTCCTTATGCAGTAAATATGTGATTATCCTTTGTTAAATAATGTCATACATTATCATCCTTGATATGTTTGTAGTTGCTGAAACTAAACCGAAAATAGATTTTGGGAAATATTCTTTTTTTAATCGCAATTTAGACGATAAATCGCTACATATCTTCAAGGCCGATATACAGTATGTACACAAAATATGTAGCCAGCAGCCGGTTAGCTTACCATACAAACTGCAAGAGAGCTCGCCAAAGAAAAGAATGACAAGTTAGTGGTTTACAGAAGATTATGTGTCAAACAATTTCTCAATCAGGTGCAGTGACTTCCTGAAGTTAGCTTTAGAAATCAGCAAGGACTTCAGATATAAGATATAATGTGATTGTTAGTGAAAATTAGAAGTGCTGGTAGGCAGGTTTTACCATCGAACAGAGTCAGGCTAACGGTTTACCCTCAGTTCCAGTCTTTTTACTAAGCTAACTGTCTGATAGATATGAAAGTGGTAACAATCTTCTCATTCTCAAAGCGAAAAAGTTGTATTTTAAAATTGTTGAACTATTCCTTTAATATCAGACAGGGCTATCAGTGGTCACTCCATGTTGTTGGTATGCCCACAGTACACATTTCAGAACATACAGCACACGGAAGTTAGGGTGATGACTGTGGTGATAGCTAGCAAAAATAAAAGCCACCTTTGAGATATTTCATTCAAGTGAAGCAGAGTTTATGTGTTGTGTAAGATAATATTAACTATTTGACAGTGATATTTTTCCTCCTAGGTATTTGTAGACAGAAGCTTCATTGGCCTTTTCAAGCGCCGAAGCCTGGAGCTGGCGGTTCCTGATGGTAAGGTATGACATCAAGTTGGACATTGTCCAATAAACGTCATTCAGAGTTATCGAGCGTGATGGATACTGAAGTGTTGGCTGTTAAGACTGGCAAAAGACATAAAAGCAATCAATCCCTACAGGGACAGCGTACTTTGAGTTTATTGGTGGAAAACTGTGGACGAGTTCACCAGGGAAGGGACCTTGACAAACAACGTAAAGGTGATCGACAGATAATATGAAGTTCATTGCTATGCCTGCTGTTAAATCACTCAAGCACGCAGTGGGTAGTGTATAAACCAATTTTGATTTGTGTTCTTGCAGGCCTTGTGGGAGACATTTTATTAAACAATACTCCCTTGCGTGATTTTACAATATACAGCCTGGATATGAAACCAAGCTTTATTGATAGGTTTGTACGCTTTATTGAATCTAAAGCATTGCATATCCCTTTCATTATGCCGTAATAGTGTGTTTGAAGCAGTTGCCTTATTTCAGTCTTTATCAGGCACCTTGGAAATCTCTCCCCGACACTCCCAGCTTCCCTGGATTTTTCATGGGGAGGCTGTTTGCCTACGGGTATCCGAGTGACACGTTTGTGAAGCTGCTTGTAAGTGAAATGAAACGTGTAGTTTTTGTGCTATGTACATTTTGTTTTTGTACGTTATGAAAAATACTTCATGTGTACATTGTGAAACCATGAAATTATCTTTGGGTCCACAGGGCTGGGAGAAAGGTGTTGTGTTTGTCAATGGGCTGAATCTGGGCCGCTACTGGTCAATTGGGCCCCAGCAGGCTCTCTACCTCCCTGGTCCCTTTCTTAACAGTGGAATAAACCAGGTACAGCTGTGCACAAACCAGCATTTGTAAGAGGAATAATTACATTTTCTGGCCGAGAGTTAGATGTGACGATTGCTGCAACTCTCATGTGTGCACTCGAGGCTGCCGTTAGCCTAGCTTAGCATAAAGACTAGAAACAGGGGGAAACAGCTAGCTTTGCTCTGTGTGGTATGTAAACTTCCTAACAACTCCTCTAAAGCTCATTGATTAACACGTTACGTGTAGTTTGTCTCATCCGTAGTCACTGCGCCCTTCTAAGAAATAGTTTGTCAAAACCGCAACAAATTGTTGTTGTTAATTGAGGTTTTTGTACGGATTAAACAAAGATTTATAACATGTTAATAAGAGAGCTTTAGAGATGCTGGTGCGAGATTATTTTAACCTGAGCCAAGCTAGCTAGCTATTTCCCCCTATACCCAGTCTTTATGCTAAGCTAAGTTAACCTAACAGGCTGTTGGTTCTAGCTTGAGAACAGACATGAGAGTGGTATCAATCTTCTTATTTCACTCCAGGCACTGTTTTTTTCCCTTGCATTATGATGGACTTGGAAGATTAATTTTAAATTTAACTTACAATGTGTGAAAATGCAGCAAGAGTTGAGTCTCAAAGCGCTAACTCTCTTCTTCTTTGCCTTTCTTTTTTTTTCTGTTGAAATCAATAAGGTCATTGTGTTTGAAGAGCAGGAGGGTGACTACAAGGTCCACTTTGAGGATACGCCTGATCTTGGCATGGCAGCCGACATCCAATGATCGCCATCTCTGTGTATGGGCATTGTTTTTTGTGTAAAATGTATCTTTTGACAAAGTGCTTATTACATCAGGTCAAACCATCAAACTCAGGGATATTAATATTATTTATATCATGGCCCTTGTCTGATATGATACCTTAAAATCTACATATACACAGATAAATTAAATCAGAGAAGGCATGTTTGTATGGGAGCAGTTTATAGCTATATACATACAGTACCTTGAGATACAGTGACTCTTTACACATAGAGAAACATTTCCAAGTATATTCTCTTACCCGTGGATTTCCACTTAAAGGGCAATACGTTTTTATTTGATATTTCTGTTAGATTTGCTTTGCTTGTGTGAATATACTGCAGAGTGCAGTTAATGACATTTTCTGTGAAACAAAAAAAATGGTTTATGGGACAACCTGAGCTGAGGCAGGAGGGATGTGAACAGCTTTCAAATGAAACACAAGCAGCATTGTAGCAACATCAGACCCCAATCTTTGAGTGAAAGTTTCGGATGCCTGACACATCGATAACTGACCAAACTCCTAACAGCCACAGAGTCTGAGAACATTAGCGTTTGTAAGCAGTGCCACTGCAAGTCAATGGGGTATGAAATCGTCACTTGCGAGCCAGCCATCCATGGTGGGAATAATTAGATTGTGTAATACAGCTATTTGAAAGGCTGCACATCACATTTTTAGATTAATGGCTTCGTATCCCATCGACTCGCACATGCCTAGCTCACGACTAACAAGTGAATGGTACCGGTTACACTGAAACAATAAATAATTCTGCTGAGAAACCATCAGCTCACTCAGTGGGATCTTAATTAGCTTATATGCAGATGACTGTGAGGTGAACAGGCCGCTAGGGATATTGAATCTTCTTTTCAAATAGCAGTAGACCTCAGTAGTGTTACAGCATGTCAGGAATAAACAAGAGCTTGGAGTAAATGACTGTAAGAGAAGACGTTGCTGTTATACTGTAATAAATCATTGCTCCGTGCTCTTCAGTGCATGTGTGTCTGTGTGCTCACTGTGTGCAGTGTGACAGCTGAGCATGTGTGAATGTGTGTTGAGGAGTAACGGGACTCCTAATTAGTGCTGGGTTCAGGGTGCTATCTAAATAGCTCAGTGTTGTACAGTACAAGTGTGGGGGGGGGGCTCAGATCCTCTCACTGCAGTCTGTCAGTCAGTGCTGACTCACTTAAGACAAGGGCCCCTTTTGTTCCTCCATGCAGCCCAGTGCCCGACAGCCAGCTCGCCTCAGAACAAAAGGGCCCTATTTAATGCTGATTGGATGGTTGGCTGGTGTTGTCTGCGCTCAGAGGGCTCTTTATTGCTTGCTGTGCCATCTCTTCCTGCAGTTAAAATCACGTAACATCCTTTGTCTCAGCTCTCCGAGGAGACCTCAGTGGGCAAGCTCCTTTTGGCAACTCTTACCGGTGTCTCGCATCAGCCAGTGCTCTGAGCAGCACGTTTTATTGTGCAGTTGTGCTTTGATACTCCGTGTGCTGCCTCCTGGGGCGGACAGGTGTGCCTCAGTTGATGAAGTACGGCTACTGTGCTGTGCTGTGATGATATTTTGGACCCCTGGATATTACTGGAAGGAGCTCTGAGTTTGGTTTGAATCCGAGTAGAATCCAATGGAGAAATGCCCCTAAAGGAACAGACAAGCAAACAAGACACATGTTAGTACTTTTTATGAACAACAGGGAGCGTACAGCCACGCTGTGAGCTAAAGGCTAACTACAGCACGCTAACATGCTATTTAGCACTGAATACAAAGTGCAGTTGAGGCTGATGGAAATACCATTCATTTTGCAGGTAATTAGTCACAAACCAAATTATTGGACAAATTCAAATTTTGACCTTATGATGTCGCTAGAGGAAAAGTCATAAGATCACCAAAGTCATTTGGAATTATTCTCTGAGGACCATGAACGCTTGTATAAAATATTAAATCCGTCCATTAGACAATGAGATATTTCACTAAAAAATAAAAATGTCAACCTCATTGTGGTGCTATATGAAATGTCAGGAGGTCATCAAAGTCAGTAGGATTCGTCCTCTGAATGTCTGTACAAGCATTTACAGGAATCCATCCAATATTAGTCTGGGCCAAAGTGACTCACGGAGCAACATTGCTACCTTTACAGCCACGCTGCTAGTGTGGCTAAAAACAAAATCTGCAGGAGACAATCTTTAAAAAAAATGTTCTGTAAAGGTCAGACATCTATTTCACATAATGTCCATATCTCACCGTGCACATATGAGTGAAGATGCTCTCCTTTGGCTCATCCCCCAGAATAATCAGTGTGGAAATGCATCAATTTGCATTTCTAAATCTCTGCCATTACCTGTGTCAGATGAAGTATGTCATATCTCCACATTAGAGTCTGTAAATCCCTTCTTGCCCTCATTTACGAGCACAGGCTTCTCTGTCCGCGTGTGCCATACTAATACCTGCGGGTAAAGAAGAAATAAATAAATAAATGGATGGAGACAAGCAGAAATAGAGCCAGTATGATGAAACACTAAAACTTACATTTTGGCTAGCGGTGCAGTTGTAATACGCTACATCATACTTGCTACACAATGTCTAGAGGCAGAATGTAGCATATTTTAAATGAGCTGGAAGCGTACAAGAGTTGGCTGTAAGCTCACAGTTTATTAACTTTAAGAACAAGTTGTCATGACAGCCAAGGATCTCAAGAAACATTCTCTTACACCACCAGCATTTACAGAGGCAGCTTGTTTCATTGCCAATGTGCAGGGGGTCGCACGACATGCAGAGAGCCTCGTTTTCCTACCTTAGTGCAGTTAGCAGCTTTAGGCTCCAAATCGCTGAGAGTGACCAGCTCCTTTAACAAACTGCTCTCCTGATAACCTCCCTTCACTCCACGTAGCTTGAAATAAGCCTGAGGTTTGGACAGAATGAGGCGCAGGTTCACAGCAAACCCAGCCATGTCGATGGCGAAGGGCCGGTGTGGGTCGAACACAGTCTTCCAGCCGTACACCTTGCCCAAGGTGTTTACTTTAGGGGACTCGTATCGTAGGCCACCTACAAAGGCCACGGGCCACACTGACACCTTTTTGGTGGAACGCATCTGGTTGAAAACAGAGACAGGGATCAGTCATTTGAGGCGTTTTTAAAGTCCATGAATCCCGAAATGTAAAGTAAGACGTCCGTGAAAGGATGAGGAGGTGGGGACATTGCATTATTATAGAGAAATTAAGCTCTGCATCATGTTTTGCTTTGCAACATACATCCTTACCTCCTCAAACAGCTCCAGACTGTACGTGTTGTCATCATCTGCAAAGTAGACAATCCCAGACTGGCTGCTGTTTATGCCAAAAGTCTCCCTGAGCCACCGCAGGGCCAGGTTCCTCTGTATGGTACCCCGAGGTATGCGGGGGTCCCGAGTGTCCCCGCGTACCTTATAGTTCCTGGGCGTCTCCACGTTCAGGTGGGTGTAGTTGAGTCCCGTCTCCTGGAGGAGACGGCCGACCAGAGTGGTCCTCCTCTGGGAGTCCTCCACCAGGATCCAGTGCAGGTTGGGCACGTGCAGCAAGGTGTTGGACAGACGTGTCAGCTCTGCCTTCTGCACCGGCCGGCTGTAGGTGGGAGTGATGACGTGGACCGTGGGCAGGATGTCGGACCACGGCGGGGGCCGGCTGTAGACGTACTCAGTGCGCACCACCTCCATGATGTCCCTGTTCTGAAGGGAGCAGGACTCCTTGAGGGCAAAAGTATTCCTTGAGTTGGAGCGACCATCCCGTCTGTCATCTAGCCAGGAGGGGAAATGATAACAATGAGCCTCTGTGTGCTGACAACTACTAATGGGACCGTGTGCTACATGAAGACATTGTACATTCAGATTCATGTTTGTCCTACATGAAACAGTGTGGACTCTCTTTAATCCGTAGATAATTTGATGCTAAACAGTAATCCTCTGTGTATTACATTCTGGCGTTTTGGCATTTCATCAAAATGTGACATTTTTCCCTGAGATTAGAACACACTGACGCAGATTCATCAGGGCTCCAGAATAACAGATTTTTTGGCACCAGTGCACCTAACTTCTTCATTTGGGTGCACCAGCACATAATGTAATTGCACCCAAATTTTGAACTCCATCGAAGATAGATCGGGCATCTAACTGGTAAGCGGTGGTGGAGCGGTAACTGCCACTGATGATGTTGGGTCTGCGGAGAGGAGTACACGGCGCAATTTCACACACAGTGGTGCCGCCACAATATTTTCATATTCCAAAATCCAATGGAAAAAAATCCCATTGACTTTTTATTGAGGGATCCAGAGATGTGTTAACTTCTGGGTTAGTAGCTACTGGGGGGGGGGGGGGGTCCCTGGGCCCCCCTTGGCGGCACCACGGCTCACGCACACATGCTTTATTTTTTGTCAGGGTCAGTGCCAATCAGAGGTAGAGCAAGTGGGCGGGTCTTTACAGTTGGGGGAAAAATAACGCTACACACATACCGGTGCGACCAATGAAAATGTTTTGTAGCACTTGATTTTTAGTCGCACCTTTGTTGCATAGTGCTACAACAAGTACTAATGTATTTAGTAAACAATGTTCACGATATTTTACCCTTACCCTTTCGTGTAGCGAGCAGAGGAGTGATGGCGCTTTGGTGCCAAACAGTAATGAGCAGTGTCCAAGGCAGCACGATCAACACAATGGCGACGATGTCTCGTCTCTTCGGCATCTCCAGTATCAGACCTGAGTTATGCCTCTACCTGCAACGCACATAAAACATGATGTGGTGCACAATCATAAGAAGCAGAGAGCTGTGAAATGACCAACAAGCTAAAACAAGCATCTTTTGGAAATGTTGTTTTAAATGTTATAGTCACAGTTATATCTCTTATATCATATTATATCCAATTACTGTTTAAGTTTTGTACATTTTATTATTATTTTTGGGAATTTCTTTAATTCAGTTAATAACATTTTAAGGTGTTTTTATTTATTTATTTTCATAGTCGGGAACATATTTAGAATGTGTCATTCTTTTAGAATACTGTATAATATAATGTGTTTGAAATCATTTTTGTTGCTCATGCTGTCAGACACACAGACATGATGTGAAAAGTGTCTATCACCAGAATCCATTCAGTCATTCCTTATTATAAGGAAAAGATTCACTGCTTCTAGAGTTATATTTAGCACGCTGTCTTCAGCCCTTGAATGAGGGATGAGCTGGTTGACTGAGTTTCCCAATCTAATGGCCCATCGCTATATCTGAATTGCAGTTTGAAGTCCATATATGGTGGTTGTCTATTGATCGTCAACACACTGCGGCTGCAGGGCACAAACTAGGAGGGAGGCATTGTGTTAGAAAGCAGTCTCAGCCTGCTGGAGCTGCCGCACAACAGAAAATAGGTCAGAAAATGCTCAGCTTTCTGTTTTTTTCCTCTCATTTGAAAGCATACTGGTGTATTACAGAGAACGTTTCAGCTCATAGTTTAAAGAGGGCTTCGGTGGGGCCCTTTCCTGTCTGTAAACGGGTGGACAGAGGTAGGCCTATAGATGTTGTGGATTCACTCTTCTGTAGGTTCCGTTAAACCTTACAGTAGCTTGATACAACTAAGGTCTATATGTTCTTTATAGTAATATACTGTAAATTCACGAATAGAAATAGATAGCCAGGCCTTTATCTGGGCTTATATTACAGACATGCCTTTATTTCTAATTTCCCGTTCCCCAGTGGATACAAACTCCATCCTCGGCTCCTCTTGCTCACATGTCCACGTGCTCTTTAGCGAGACACTGAACCCCACATTTCACCTGATGGTTCGGGTGCTGCTTTGCTACGGGAGCTCACTCTGGATATAAAAGCGCTAATACGTAAATAGAATCCACATTATCATACCTATGTTTATAGCATACACACATGGTCAGTTCAAGGACGGAGGCTCTGTCTGTATGAAGAGGGCTGGACAAGAGGAGAGTGCGTGTCCCGGTGGTCCAGTTCAGCCGATGATCCCTGCAGAGAGAAAACACACCAAGGATTAGAATCTGTCAGTCATTTATCTCGGGAGAAGCAACGCAGATATGACGCAACGTTTTCTGTAGATGTTTCTGTCTCTGTCTCTGTTAAATGTTGTTCTCGTGGTCATGTGACCTGCCCGGAGGTTACAGTGTGAGCAATGATGAGTCTATGATCGGGTCCGTCTAGACAGAATTTGAGGGGCAAATATTTCATATTCAGCTGTTTATCTGTGTTTGTGGGATTTTGGTATGATTCATATTACCAAAGGTCATTCGTGTTGCAGTGAGTTTCAGGCAGTTTTCAGCCAGGCAGTCTATAAACGGTTCAGCTGATATTTGTTTGGGTCGTACAGGCTTTTGTGTGGATGAAGGTCGGAAAAAAGAAATGCTGATAGAAGACATTTCACACATTGGGCCTCATGCAGGAAGCAATATGAGAACAAATGTCCTTTTATTTTTGTTCTAATTTTGTTAGTACATATTGATTTCTGGGATTCACTTCTGTTTAATTATTCTTGCTCTTCTAACGTTACGACAGATATTTTACAAGAGGTAATAAAAAACATCTTGTTTTCACAGTCCACAAAGTGTTTATCCAACGCAAGGTCAAGTTTTAAATTTGAAGAAAATAAAAAAGGCATGAATATCATATAAGCAACTTTAGATTATTATACGTTTCAGACTATTTATAATTATTGGACTATTAAAGAAATACTCTTGGTCCACTGATCCCATTGAAGACTATAAAATCCTTGGATGATATTGTGTGCATTCAGCTTCTGAAAGGCTTACATATTGTTCTACGTAGGCCTACTGACGCTCTGGAAAATCATGTTTACGTTTTTTTTAACAGAACCTTGATTTCACTCCTGCTGAGGTTCTTTGTCTTCGCTCCAATTGTAATTGAGTATTTGCACATGGCACAACACCTGCCTTATATAGTGTTTAGGGGGCTTCGTGCTAATAATGAACAATCTGCCACATGCCTCCAATCTATGGTCAGGTGGGATTCATCATTCAGCACACCTGGGGAAGAGCAGATTTGGATGGTTGAGAACGTTGGTGCATCTCGAGTAGAAAATGAAGAGAAAATATAAGAGAACGTTAAAAGAACGTTTCTGCATGTGTGTGCGTGTTCATGCTTAGTGAGGGTCAGCTGTTTCTCGCAGCTTTCGAGCTACAGCACAGACACATGCGATCACAATAATGCCGGCTCCAATCGCTCCGTGTGCTTTTGTTTCCCCTTCTCTTCAAAAGTCTCTTCATGAGACAGCTGCTCTGCCGGTTAATCACAAAGCTTTAGCCGTAACTAATCCTCGATTAAAAAAGGATCAACCCCAGTCTGAGATCAAAGGTAGTGCTAGCTAATTAACACATCGGGATAGGTTTAACAGGGCCATGTATCAACAGTGTGTTATTGCTTTGGAAAAGCTAATTATCTTCTCGCATCATGTTGAAAAGCGGCGAGTCGCTCTCCACCTCCTCATCATTTTGCACACCCATTTTAAGGTTAATTATGTCATAACTGAGAGCAACAACAACAGTTTGGAATGATGTGCTCTCATCTACATTACACGCAGATTCTGATAAAACAACAATCTAAATGTGTTACTGAGTATTTTGCTGAAAATGTTGAATTTAGCTGCTTGCATCTGCATCCAAATACACACAGTATCATGCTGATTTTGTGGGGAACGCTTATATCCCGTGAATGTTACAAGTAAAGTACAAGGATGAGCTACAGGCAAAATGCCATCAATTTTAGCAGCATTGCCTGCAGTCGATATGTGCACCTGTTACCTAAATTTGGTTCCGCATATAAAATGCGTCACAACAATTTATGATATGAATAGGCCATGCCAGCAAGAAATTGGCATCCATTCAATAAAATAGGTATTCTTTTGGGCTCATCCAAATATGCAAAGAAGCCAATTTGGTGAAAATTGGACGCAAATTATAGGAAAAGTGTTGAAAAAAACTGTTGGTTGGGAGTTTGCCCAACCAGTCTACATGTGCTTTGTGGACTTGGAGAAGGCTTTCGACCGGGTCCCTCGGGGGGGTCTTGTGGGGGGTGCTGCGGGAGTATGGGGTACCGGACCCGTTACAACGGGCGATCCGGTCTCTGTACGACTGCAGTAGGAGCTGTGTCCGCATTCTCGGCAATAAGTCAGACATGTTCCCGGTGGGTGTTGGCCTCCGCCAGGGCTGCCCTTTGTCACCGGTCCTGTTCGTGACTTTCATGGACAGGATGTCTAGGCGCAGCCGGGGGGTGGAGAACGTCAGGTTCGGGGGTCGCCTCTCTGCTGTTTGCAGATGATGTGGTCCTGTTAGCCTCCTCGGATCATGACCTCCAGCATTCACTGGGGCGGTTTGCAGCCGAGTGTGAAGCGGCGGGGATGAGAGTTAGCACCTCCAAATCTGAGGCCATGGTGCTCTGCCGGAAACCGGTGGATTGCTCCCTCCAGGTGGGGACGGAGTGCCTACCTCAAGCGAAGGAGTTCAAGTATCTCGGGGTCTTGTTCACGAGTGAGGGTAAGATGGAGCGGGAGATCGACAGACGGATCGGTGCGGCTGCAGCAGTAAAGCAGGCGCTGCACCGGACCGTCTTGGTGAAGAGGGAGCTGAGCCGGAAGGCAAAGCTCTGAATGTACCACTCGGTCTACGTTCCTACCCTCACCTATGGTCACGAACTCTGGGTCGTGACCGAAAGGACAAGGTCGCGGCTACAAGCGGCCGAAATGAGTTTCCTCCGTAGGGTGGCCCGGCTCAGCCTTAGAGATAGGGTAAGGAGCTCGGTCATCAGGAGGGAGCTTGGAGTAGAGCCGCTACTCCTTCCCGTCGAAAGGAGTCAGCTGAGGTGGTTCGGGCATCTAATTAGGATGCCTCCTGGACGCCTCCCACTGGAGGTTTTCCAGGCACGTCCAACTGGGAAGAGACCCCGGGGAAGACCCAGAACACGCTGGAGAGATTACATCTCCCAGCTGGCCTGGGAACGCCTCGGGATCCCCCAGAATGAGCTGGAACATGTTGCCGGTGAGAGGGAAGTCTGGGTCGGCCTGCTTGGCCTGCTGCCACCGCGACCCGACCCTGGATAAGCGGAGGAAAATGGATGGATGGATGGAATAAATAAATATTATATGTTGGAAAAGGAGAAGGATGAAGTAAGCACTTATAAGGTCCTGTCCATTTCTATAACTAAAACAACTTCAATATTGGTTATTAATTTATATTTATCACATATACACATAAACAATTATTTTAGTATGAAAAATACAATAACAACAACAACAACAACAACCAGGAGCTTTACAGTCCTGAGAGAAACGAGGCCTCCTCCTCCTCCGTGCACCTCTTCTATACATGTTCTTACATGGATATACTTTTGTACTTTTATTTGTATTTTCTTAATCTGAACCATTTCGTAAATTCACCCCACAAATTGAAATACACATAGTCTTCCTCGTGGTAGAAATTATGTTTTTTTTTTAGAAAAATTAATTCCTTCTGTGTGAGGGAAGTGAGTTAAGTCTTGCAGTGCAATTGTGCAGTCTTAAATCCTACCAGATCCATGAACTTCAAAGCATGTGACTTACCATCCTCATGGCTATTTTTTTGTAATAAGCATAACCACGCCACTCAGTAATTTAGATGCGATATTACAACTTTATGATCCAGAATGTGCCTTGTTTGTCCCAGAACTGCAACGCTCCTTGCTATCTTTGCTTGCACATATCTTTAATAACATTTCTAGAAGATGTTTTGGTGTAATATCAAACCCAGACGTTTATTTCGATATACTCTTTCTATATTAACATTGTCTATCATAACTTGTACATCAGTGTTTATCTCACAATTTCCAAACAGCATAAGCTTGGTTTTGTTCAAATTTAATGATAATTTTGATATGTCAATTCACTGTTTTAATCTACTCATATCTGTTGTGTATTATGAGAAAATAGGCCCCTCGGCACATATATGCAAAAGGCCCACCAACTTTCCTACATAGGAGCAAGACACAGACTTTATAGTTGTTTAGTCTCTTTCTGTGGTCATTCTGTGTCTCAATGTAGTCATTTTGAGTCTCTCTGTAGTTGTTTTGCGTTTCTTTAGTTGTTTTGTGTCTTTTTGTAGTTTCTTTGTGGCTCTTTGTTGTTGTTTTTCCCATTTTCATAGTTGCTCTGATGCCATGTCCACACTACTCCTTTTCCATTTGAAAACGCAAAATTATGTTTTGCTACGTTTACACTGAGCGTCCACACTACGCCGGTGTTTTTGTGCACCGAAAACGGAGGAGTTTGAAAATGCTCCCGAAGACGGATAAGTTTGAAAACTCCGGGTTGTGTTTTCGTGTGGATGGTCGAAAACGGATACGTTTAGAAACGATGACGCCCACACCCGCGTTCGCTACTTGATTGGTTCTTAGCAGTCATGACGTGTCCTTCCCTGATTCGTCACATGCCTATCACGTGACCCTTACCCGGAAGCTCACAAACAACAACATTGATTACCGATCGACTACCAGGTTAATTCATCATGGACAACTGATTACAGGCGATGCTGAACTTGTTGTCTTTACTAGCAGCTGTTGTTCAGTTAAAGTCTGCATTAATACGGAGGAAGCAGCTGTTATTGGAGCCATTAGTGAGCATGACCAGCGGCGTTACCAGACCTACGGAGCGGACGTCTGAAGTCACGGTTAGCGGCTTTAGGGAGGGTGATGGACACAAAACGGAAGACTTTCCTTTTCTTATTAATGCTTATTTTGTTCTGCACAACTATTGTGAAGTCCGCAGATAAAATGTAAAGGAACAAAAGCAGTAAATGCTCTCCAGTAGGACAGATAGTTAAGCCAGCAGGGCGAGAACAGAAACAACGAAACCGAGAGGGAACAAGTGAGAGACGTGTGTTGACCACTTTTATGGACCATAATCTAGTACACCTTTATGTGTTAGTGTTGATTTTAAATTAAATTTGATGTGAGAGCGATATAGAGCAAGACCTGCAGTGTTGTAACTAAGTCTGAAAAATAAAACTTCTAAAACTTTCCATGAACTGTGTCTGTTTGAGTTCATAGAGGAAGACTTTAGAGAAGATCTTAAGTGTCAAACATGACCTTTCATTATTAAAGACTATTTTATTACTCTGTCGTATTTTTTTAAAGTAAGCAACCAATCTACTTCCTGTTTACATCGACACTCTCGTGCATGCCCAGTGTACATGAATAGTCACGTGATATTCGTTTTCAGGCGTTTTATTATGGACAGCGATCAATTTGAAAACGATGCTGAAACGCCGTGTGGACAAAGTAGTGTGGATGTAGCAGTATCAATGTGCTAAGTAGTTCTGGAGACACTTTCGTCAACAGACAAGCAAACAGACAAATGGGAAAACAAAACTTTTTGGCTGTATTCCTGACAGATGTGCTGCAATAAAACACAACTATCCTTGTCAGTCAAATTCAGTGAGCTTAAGGTGCATGATCTCCGTCAGAGTACTGATTGGACCACAGGTTTCCTGTACTTCAAGCACATGGGAGAAGTTTGCCTTCAGGGATTTCTGGGGTTTATTTTAACCCAAACCACAATATTTTCCTAAACCTAATCAAATAGGATTTATGGCAGAAAGCCCTGAAGGCAAACTTCTCCCATGTGCAACCAGCAGCAGCTGTCTGGATATCCGTGGCACAACTATGACATGCCTTAATTTAGACACTAGTGTGACACATCTTTATAACTGGGACAAAAGTTTAGATTAGATTACAATATTGTAGATACCAGTATGATGACAACACTTTCCATTGTCAAATCTTTGATTCACCATTGTCTTTACATAAAGACAGCATTGCAATCAGCCACATCTAAACATTTGAGGACTTCTACTGACCCAACCTGCACAAAGTTAATGAATTATTAGCAGGCAACAAAAACCAGAATTCCTCTGTACAGTATAACACTGGCTCTAAACATCTTTTATTGCAGATTGACAATGAATCTGTTCAGACTGCACTATGGCCCATAACAACATCCAAAACTCATTCTCCTATTGTTTTTAAATGTAGCAATTGAAGCAGTTCAGCACAAGTCGATGTACTTGCATAATTCTAGTAACTTTCGGTTTGTATCCATGTAGTTGAATGCACAGATTGGAAGTCGCTTTGGATAAAAACTAAGTAAATGTAATGTAACAATTAACTTAAAATAAGTATAGTTTTCGTAGCCAATACAAAGTGGCTGACAAAGTGAAAATTGATCTTTGAACTATCAAAATGTACAAAGATCGCACAGTCCCCGGTTATTGGCACAGTAAACACAATACAGGCCAACAACAGGTGTAGATCATAAGATAGCAGTGTTATTTTAGCAGTTAGGTCGAATATTCTTGCTCTGCTGTTAGTACTCATTTAGCTTTTTTATTTTTGTAATGACACTGTAAATCTAGATTGTATAGACCCAGCAGAGCTAAGATGCTGCCCCCTATTGGTTTGGAGCACGTGCCCACATTTTACAAACTGCCCCTTTAAATGACACACAACTGACCTGCACACATTTACGTGCCATTGAATATTTAACTTTGAGTACACAGTCAGCTTGTGTCCAATCCTTTGATTGTGCTCTCCAACGCTGCTCTCTTTAATACAATGGGTGTCATTCTGTTGTTGTGACTTTTTTAATGGCTTCATAAGAAACGGCCAAACTGCCATAAATAACCAACACAGGTACACATACACAGACCTGCCAGGCTCCGGCCTACATCACAGACCTAATGCTTCCAACCCAGTGCTCGCTAATGATAGACCTCGACTGCATCAAAGAGCCAGGAGTTGAAGGAGGACGAGTGGAAGATGGAGCCAGCCTCACTTAGAGCTTAAAAAGATCGAAAGCTTCTCGCTGTGTGTTTAAAATGTATGGCAGAGAATACTACAAATAGGTCTCTTAAGATATCAAACATCTTATAGACGTGTCTTATAGTTCCTGTCCCAGCGGGGTAAATCTATATTAATGTTGTCTGTGCTAATGACAGTCAAATGGATATGAACTGAAGGATGAGACATCCTTGATTTAAAAGGAAACAAGCCTGGAGAGTGCTGCGCGGAACATGAGACAGATACGCCTGTGAAACGGGATCCAGGTAGATGGCTTCAGAGACGCTGCGCAACAACACTAGTGAACAAACATTTGAATTTATATTCTTTTTACTGTGTGTTCAACCTCCAACTCATCAACCCTGTCTTTGACACCACAAACTGTATCCAGGGTGAACCCTCATTACAGCAGAGCCGTTCCTTGGGACAGGTGCCAGACCGAGTCACAAACAATAAAAAAATTGAAATCCCATTGTCATGGGAACGTGATTTCCTTTCGTTTAGTCCTAATTGCTGCCATCTGAATCCAGCCAACTGTTATTAATCCCTTAAATCCTAGCGGTGACCGGCGCATGTGTCTGTATTCGATAGGCAGCTGCAGGTAATCTGATGTATTCCTGTTCCTGGTGTTTGATGTCCTGATGCTTGCGCTATCCCTTTCAACTGGTTGGAGATGTAAAAGTTGAGCCCGGTGCCTCGGTGCGCGGCTGGTTTGGAATTCTAATGTTCAGGTGCTGTGGGATTTTAGGGATGAGTCTCACTGAAATAGTTTTATTCCTCAGTACCTTTTCGTCTCATCTTTTCTCCTCCTGGTGCTGCTCAACTTTTGTATTGTGCTGTGCTTTTGTGGCCAAGGGAAAAGTTGTTTAATTTCATTGTTAGCCCGCTGTTTAACAGTAACAATATAACTGAGCACTTTTGTATTATAGTTAATTAAATCAACTACAATACAATTCAAATTCAATCATACAAAATAATAATTATAAAGTGCATGAGATGTTTACTTACAGAAATTAGCGATGATCCACTGACTCTAATCCTGTTGTGCTGTGCTAATGCTTAAGGTGCTGATAATGGTGCCGGGCCTTGATGTGTCAGCTGTGGTGAACAGAGGGATCCATCAAGTTGTCTTCCAGGGGAAGGAGAGCGTGTTTGGTACACATATGAGCACCAGAGTCGGGGTGACAACTCGTGGATTTGGTTCGCAGCATCTGGTGGGGTGCTATCCAATCCCCGGGTAGGGTCGCGTCGTCAGTGCCAGCCCCTGTAGAGACAGAGGAGGTCATCCCTCTGGAAGAATGCTGCTTCTCATTGCAAAAACAAAGGCCGGGATTATCAAAGCTGATGGCAAGGGGACGGGGCGGAGTGGCAGCCATGGCCCGATGACTTAGGACAATAGAATAAATCACAGGAAAAATGTCACAGCCGCACAAATGGAATTCTTACTTGGGGATGAAGTGGGATTGGAGAAACTGAGGGAGCCATGCATAACGTGGGTGTTGTTTATCCGAGGCATAAACAGCTATAGTCACATGGTCCACTAGACAGACAGTAAGGGCATTTCTATTCATTTTGCTTTCATTTCCTGACAGGCATATGAAAGGAGTGCATTCTGAATGGACTCCTCTGCTTGACAATTCTAATACTGGGTTAGAATAAAAAAGGCTGTAATCTAAATAACTCTACCGATGAAGAGGAGGCAGCTGTGTGAAAGGCATTACAGCTCATACCAGTAATTAAAGAGGATGGTTATATATTGGTATGTGACAAAGTGCAGTGGCTGTGAATTATGCTTCTTATAGCCGGATGGTTTAGATGAGTGACTATGACATTTCAAGTTAGTGGAACGAGTTGAAATAACACTTAGTGTATCAAAGTCAGAGAAATGTTCACTCGTGTAATGCCACGATCACATCATGTTGTTCCGATACAAGCAGCAGAGGGGGGGGGGGGAAACCATTCATGTCAGAGTCCGACGAGTAATTCCGAATCAGAAATATTGGATTTCAGACAGTGACGATATCTTCCACTCCAACAAACAAGTGAAAAGTCAAGCTACAAATCATTTTGCTACCGTTGGACAGAGTCAGGATAGCTGTTTCCAGTCTTTGTGCTAAATTAATCAAACTGACTGTAGCACCACATTTACTGAACAGACATGTGGGGTATCAAACTCATCCTCACAAGACTGTGAAATAAACGTATTTCCCAAAATGTCAAACTAAAGTGCGTTCACCAATATAAAATCAACAGTACAATATAATAGCAAAAATATGTGAACTTTATTTAGGGTGGTTATTTATGTTTAATGTTAAAGCTGCTAAATTCAAAATTCAGAGCATATGTAGTGCCTCAACATGGCGAAGGCTAGCTAGTAGGGCACGCTCACATGCACAAACATGCTCTAAAAGGCGCATGTGGTCGGCCCGCTATGTAAGCAAAGCAGACAGGTAGATATTACTCCACTATATCTATATACATAGTAACTAGTTGTTTGATGCTATCTTAATTCTCTGAGTATCGTATAGAGAACCTTTAAAGAGGTCACTGACAGAATCTTGATAGGTTGTATTGCTTTGTGTTTAACCACAAATGTCCAGTACAAAGCATGTCTGCAGTCTTATGCTAACCAACAGTATCATCAACACGATGGATTGTCACATATTCTATAAATAACTGATTTTGTATCTCCAATGATCTGCAATTATGCATCTGCCAGACATGGAATCAGTATTCGTCCTTAAATTTCAACCTCTGCCTCCTCTGTTTACTTCCATTCCCCTTCCTCCGACGTGTCAACCGTCCCGACCCTCAATTTCCCCATTCCATTTCCTTGAGCACAAGCACCATGATGTGTTATCATTATGCCAGTGATTCGAATCAGTCATCATCAATATTTCTTACATATTAAAAAGGCTATTTAAATATGTATGCATCTGATCACCTCTGTGGGTTTTGTTCATTGCCTGAGTCAACTGAATCTTCCTCAGGAAATATTCAGTTTATTCATGCATATGTTATCAGGGAGCCAAATAAGACGGTAAGCTCAGATGCAGCCTTTCATGACCAAGAGTATGAGCTGCATTGTGATCTGCGGTGCTATTAGAGTAACGCGTGCACGTGAACAGATTCACTGTAAAAGAATAACTTAGCTCAATACCTCTTCCCTGACTGGTGTCTTTGTATCCAGCAGAAACACCTTTCGTCCAATTTCTAAACAACTTTGTCGTTTTGCTTCCTCGTCCTCACATGACACTACGGAGAAAAAAATTCAGCAAGACATTTTGCTCGATAAGAGGACCTTTTGAGTGAGATAAACCTGAAGTTTGCACTTGAAATGATGATGGTTTTCCTTGCTCTCTCACTCTTCTCCTATTTAATCACTTTCATCAATCAATATTCTGTCTGCATCTGTTCATGTGCTGAGGCTCAGAGGAATGCCATGCAGTGTTTTTGACAGATGGGTGCTTAATGAGACGGCGGTGCTCTTCCAACGGTGTTACATATCAGAAGGAGGTGTAGGTGTGCTATTAAAATGCAAATCGTTAAAATTCAAACTCAATTAATAGCTGCTTAAGCTGGCAATATTGATGTGTATGTGATGGAAACACCTTGAAGCGCAACTCCTGTATTTTCCAGTGCGGTGGGTCCTTTGAAAATCATCTGGGTGATAATTAGTGGCTTTTCACTGCGACAGCTCTATCTCGGCTGGTGTCATTTCTCACATCCTGCAGAATATGACACGACATGGCACAATCAGTGTTGGTTTTTGGAACCTAGCTTCAATTTTCTTGCTCTTCAATGTTCAGACAGTGCGTGCCTCATTAGTTTTAGCTTTCTTGGTCGCATTGAGAAGCTTAGATCTTTTATTTTCTATCAAAATTATAAATTGCAACCATAATAAACCCATAATATGACCCTTCAAAATCGGGACGAAATTCCTGTCACATGTCAATCACCTAAGCATAACCTAAAAACAAACTATTGTTTAAAACTTAAAGAAAGACTATGTGACTTTTGGGATATTGCCAACAGGTGCTATTTAGCATACAACACAGCAAAGGCTGATGGGATGGGAATGCCATTCGTTTTGCAGGTATTTGGTCATAAAACAAAGTATTGGAGAAATTAAAATGATGACCAGATGGTGGCATTACACAAGAAGTGAGATGATCACCAAAGTGAATACAATTGATCCTGAGAGGAACATGAACAGCAAACCACCCAATTGTCAGTGGTCAAAACAACATAGATAATGGTGGAGGAAAGGAAAAGGTCAGACGATCAACAAATTCAGCAGGATTCATCGTCTGGGGACCATGAATGTCTGTCCAAAATGCCATGGGAATATATCTGTGTTGTGGAGATACCTCAGTATGGACCAAAGTGGTGGACGGATACTCAGTGTTGAGGGTAAATACTGCGCCCTGTGAGCACAGTGAATGATGTTTGATATTCCCATCTGGCTTCCAGTGGAAGAGAATATTCATCTCACTGTCGGCAAGTTGCAATGTTCTCATGTCTAGATAAATATTGAATGAACTTGTCAAACATTAAATGCTCACACAGAGGGAACTTGGAACTTCCATACTTGGAAACCTTCCTGTGTTTTGTGGCAGCAGTTTTCCATAAATAAGGAATGATGATGTTAAGGTGAATGGACAACAAGGAAGCACTGATGAACTGATGACAGGGCTACCAATGTAATACTGATGAAAGTGATGTCAAGCATCATGATGTTTAGAAATTTTACACAAGCCACCTTTAACTGATCTGATGCAGCGGCATCGTGCTGATTTCTGTCTGAGTTTGATGATGTATGCATCTTATAGACTTGTGTTAGTTGCCCCTCCACTATTCAGTTCCCAGCAGGTCCTTTTTTGTCAAGTGGATGCTCCAGAATTTATCTATTTTGATTTGTCCAAAGCAGTCATCATGCACTCAGCTAAGACATGTCAATTTAAGACTATTTAAGCTAAACGCATATCAAGAAATATGATATTTAGTGTTCAAATTGAATTCATTGCTTCAGGATAAAACATGAGTAGAACAACGTCAAACTTTGTTTCAAAAAGTAACTGCTACAACTACTATCTGAGAAATAGATTAATGCCCTCTTTAAAAATGGAGTTCATGAAAACGAAGTATATTGAGTGAGTGAGATGGTTGAATAATTTGATATGTGGGCGTATGCAATTACAGCTTTCTACTGTGAGTGTTGGCAAGCATGAACGGCGCGAAGTCTGACATTTCAATGAAAGTGTTAATGAGTACAGCACAACACTGTGCCAGCAATGCATTTCACTGCTCAGACGGGGAAACAGCACAGTTTGCTATTAGAATCGTCTTGTGTATACATTGGCTCGATTTAATAAACAGCAACAACAACAATAACAACTCTGGAACCATCACTGGACAAAAATCTGAAAGTTAATCAGCCAACTGTAAAAAAAAAAAATTGGAATAGTGGTAAAAACAATAACCTAAAGCGAAACTATGAGACTTTATCAAACAACACATTATGCCTTTTACAAATGAAAAGTTAAATGTGCAATAAACGACATCCGCTGGCCGGTTGGTCGTACTTTAAGTGCATGGGCGTGCCTGACTGGTTAGCTCATGAACCCCGCTCTGTACTGCTCTCACACGGCGGATACAGCTGATGATGGCATCCCGACAGATGGCGTCCTGGTGGGAGCGTATAGCCACAGATACACTTTGAGCTTTGTCGGCACGTTTTGCCATAGTTTGTACTGTTAGCACTGATAGCACCGTTAGCTACAAGCAGCCAGCTCTGGCGTTGCCACGTTGAGAGGCAATCGAAAGGCTCCTAATGTGGTGGTATGCACCTTAAAATTCATAAGCAATAAAACACACGACTGCTACCGCCTTACTTATGACCAGTAGCTAATGTTAGCAAACTTTAGGGAAATAATGCTCTATAATTACTGGGTCAGTGTGCCGACTTAATGACTCTTCTCTACTTGCACTGTTACAATAGCTTAGCATTTTACCTAAATGCTAAATGGCAGTTTAGCCATTCAGCACTAAATCCTACACACTGGTCCTTTAATAGTCAGTTGGAGCTGCAGGGAACATTGTTCTGTAAAAGTTACGCAGTGTCATTTTTAACACAAATGAATTAAGTAAACAGAACACACAAAATGAAGCTCAGTGAATATGAAAAAGATGGCAAAGATATTTGGATCAATAAAGCCATATATACTCACGGTCTTATTTTACTTACATCAGCACAATTATTCA